CCCCAAAACCCCAAAACCCCAAAACCCCAAAACCCCAAAACCCCAAAACCCCAGACCAATCACCATTTGTTGAATAATAATTTGGCTAAATATGTATACCCCACAAATAATTAGTTGAACAATAAAAAAGATGAAGAGAGTACCAATTCTCTGAAAAGACCTGTGAGACTCCACTAAACTGAACGAGAATAAGAGACGAGAAGACTTACTAGAGTCCTCACAGATAATAGAGTATAGCTCAAGTCATAAGAAGAACCCTTCGATTAGGTTTACAGACCCAAATATCATCAAGCATACAATAAATAGTAGGCATAGAAGGGATGAATCAAGGACTAAGCATCGTCAGTTCTCCAAACTTTCTCGAAGAGATATTCTACCAAAACAAGTTCAAAATTTAGATAGTGATTCCGGATGCTACCTCAAAGTTGAAGAACCAGAGCCTCGTGGTTCTTTAGTTAAACAGTACCTTGGCCAAAAGCCTATGAATTTTATGAAAAATAATGAAGACAAGACTATAAGAAGAAAAGTGTCAAGCTTCACTCCAATGAGAAGGGACTTTAAAATGACATTACCCAAAATGCCAGTGTTGCAGAATCCTGATCTCAGTAAGAAGATCAAAGCATATGATCAGTATTTTTGAAGCCAAAAACCCAAACACCTAAATAATTTCAGGAAAAACTTGAGTAAATCTGATCAAAAACCAGCGGCAAAGAAGCAAGAGTTGGTGGATCTCTCTAAGAAAGAATCTCAAAATTTGCCGATTCTAAATTCTCAAATCTCAACCCAAGATGATACTAGCATGAATAATTATGAGGTAGGTTTTTGGTTCTAAAGACCGCGGATTCTCATATCAAATTTATAGAAATCTTCAGTGTGGCCCCAGTCCAAACTTAAGAAGGATTATTACTCAAATCCTATCAATCTGATCCATTCAAAAGTTCAAACGAGTAGAGTGAATCAGAGTGTCTCTTTACTGATCGAGAAGGATCCACTTAACAGAGATGTAGAAATAGCCTTCAAGAAGCAGAGCATTAGGGTGAACCCCCGTGTGAAAGTGAGCCTGTACTCTCCAAGTTCCCAGTTAGGACCCAAGAAGTTCACCTCTTTAATCCAAAGCTACGGTTCTAATAAACCAGGAATTTTTAAAAGAAGGAAGCAAAATCATTTATCCCCTTCCTTACAAAGGGAACATGAAAAATACTTATCTATTGAGATGAAGAACAGAAGGGACTTGAACAACTCTGTAGATCTGTATAAACCCCAGTTAAAGTCTTCCAGACTCATTGGACAGAGAGACTGGTCTATTAGTACTTCCTCCAGGAAAGAGAATAATAGATATAACATTAATTCAAAGAATTTGAAAGTTTATGAAAAGTTGAACGAAAATTCCCAAAATAACCAAGAAAAAGAGCCGAAAAGTGATACCAAAAAAGTTTTTAAAGAGAAGAGATCGCTAAGACTTAATACTAGAAGACTCTCTGATGAAACTCTTAGTAATTTCAAAGAAAGAAAACTTGGCAAGCCAAGGTACGTTTAACTTGTCCCTCAGATTCTTATTTTATTTTAGATTCCCAGTCAAACCAGCCAAAGTGATAAAAGCTCCCATTGAGCCTGAGAAAAGTTTTAAGCGAGGAGTTGTATACAGAGGTGAGAGATTTTATGAACTTGATGAAATCAAGAAGCTTATCCACTTCAAACACCTTGATTGACTCCATGTTGATAGTGACTCAGAGATATAATATACCCTTATTATTCATTAGTTTTCAATATGTTGTTTTCTATAAGGGGTTTTGGGGTTTTGGGGTTTTGGGGTTTTGGGG